GTCGCTGCTTCAAAAATTATTATTAACCGAAAATCCTCAAACACGAAATTTATAATTTATTTATATTTCATTTCTCGCTCAGTGTGTGTTTGTGAGTTGGGTTTTTGGGACGTTTTGCCTATTATCGCCGGCTGTGTTATTATTAGAGTCTGAGATGCAGAAGCAACGAAATATCGAATGAAAAAAACTTGTTGTTTTATCCTGCGGCCACTTTTGGATTCGGCGACGTTTTAATTTTTCTGAAATCAAGCAGCAGAAACAACAACAAAATAAACGAAAACCATCAACTTTTCTGCTCGTTACTAGCTCCAAGCGACCATCACAGTAGGTAAACTCAAATAATTCGCCATTCGGCGTCGAACCAACACATAAAACTATTCTTTTCATTCAAATATTATGCACACTCGCATTTTTTTCGCCTCAGAAATTTTGTGGTTAATGTTCTATGTTGAACCAAAAACAAAATCATTCAACAGAGAAAATATAATTCAGTGATAAAAACCGAATGTGTTCGTTAAGAAATTTGAAGAAAGAACTTTTGTTTGTCGAAAAAATCGTCGCTTCATAAGAAGAAAAAATCAAAAAAAAGTAAAAACATATGTTAAAAATGATATTTTTATTCAAAATTAGTAATTTTCTATAGAAAATTATTCATTTGATATTTGATTTTCCATGAGAAAATTTATTCATAATCATATTTTATTCAACATCGATTTGATTGAATCGATCACATCAAAAAGTCGTTGACGATATACAGAAATTCGTTTGATGGCTTCATTTTTTCCTTAAATTTTCAATCATATTTCGGTTTCATTCTTATTTCCCGGTGTGCATTGATGTTTCGGTTGAATTGTTATTTGTTTTGCGCGAATTTAACTCTCTTTCATTTGCTTTTCTCTTCATTTCTTTGGGTTAGTCTTTCATGTAACATTCTTCAACAGTTGAGCGTTGGAAACTTCAAATGGAATTGAATGATTCGTAACTGAAAAATATTGAGCACGTGTACAAAATCCCTTGAGCGAATCGTCAGTCGTGATCGGCGAAACAGCTATACAATAAATTGATGCCAACCCACGAAATGCGATATTCTACCAAAAGCAAAAACAATGTCGAACCTCAAAGTTCTGTTCATTTTCCTCTCTGACACGAACGACTAACATCTCGAAGCCTGTATTTGCATCTCGAAGCGCCAAAAATTGCATTGATTTTGTTATTGGGCCGGATGGAAAAGTATGATGATGAAACATGTTTCGATGTTGAATCTAGTTTGTATAAAATAGCTGAAAATGGTGTGGAATAGAACGGGAAAAAACAACATTTTGATGAACAGGAAGAAAGGGAAAAACATCCTGAAAAGATGTTGATATGCATTCAGTAGACACTAAGATTGCTTTTGTTGTTAATCGTTAAAAATGACATGCCGCATGAGATGATAGATACAGTGAGAGAGAGAGAGAGAGAGAGAGAGAGAGAAGGCGAAGGTGAGCATCTGCCTACAAATTTCGCGCCTTCTTTTTTTCTTCATTCCATAATAGACGTTTACGAGAGAACGAAACGAATACAAATTACGCTTGAAGATCGTTCATTTAGTGTCTTTTGGTAAAAATGCTTTTGCACACGCCATTAAACAATTTACACAATTTCTATTGTTTGTCATCCATTTCGAAGCTGTTTACAATTGCATCACGCTCACATACATACACAACACACAAATGGTATCAGATTTAAGTGACAGTTTTTTTTCTGTAACTAAAACAACGGCAAGCCTAATCGGTAATAGTTTACCTGCAGCCGTTAGCCACATACTAATCGAATGGATAATTCGGTTTTTTTTTTCGAAGGAAAAAAAGAGCACGATTCTGAACACGAAACGGTAATCACAAACGACCGTAGCATAAAATGAAATTGTGTGTGTGTGTGTGTTCAAAGTATCATCCTTTTTTGGGATTGGTATCGATTGTGCGACGACGATCGACGTACGATGGAACGGACCGAAATTGACAAAAGATAAATGTTTTGGTCAAATGAAAACTCTTTATGGACATCGGTATTGACAACACACGCAGCAGGCAACAACACACAACAAACAATGGACCAACGATGTAAACAAATTTATGAAGACAAAAACTCAATGGACGATAAAGAAAAAGAAGTACAAGACAGAAACAACAACAACAAATACACACAGAACTCCCGAATTCGAGGCAAAACAACCGACAGAGACGCACAGAAAGAAACGAAGAAAAAAATCATTGAGCAGCACGTGATTTATGGCCGGACGGCATCAATTGTTAGCATGCAACCAGCATTAGAAATGCAAACACAAAAAAGTGTCTAAAATCCAGTTTGAATCCATAACCTTTTTCTTATTAAGTTTGGTTGGTTTTTTTCTCTCTTTCGCTTGAGTTTCGGTAGTGATTTTTGGCACAGCTACTTCTGACTTGTCAGATTGCAATTTTCCTGCTAAATTGATTATAATTAGATTTGGGGAAAGAGAGAAAAAAGCGGTCCATTATAGATTTTGATTAAGATTATTAGAGAAAGTCGGCGTGCCGATCGGCTGATGAACACCACTTTTTTTTCCTCGTTCATTTCCTTTCACTCGTGCTTGCGTGTTCAATGCGAGTGGGCTTTTTTTTACTACTCGTTCTACCTTTAAAAATAACCTTTCAATAATGATTTTCGCGTGCGCTGCCCAATGCTGCATTCAGGCAACTACTACTTTTCAGCTACTAAACAGAAGAAAAAAGGAATCGATCTCGTGACACCGTAGCCTTGATTAGATTGAACAAATTTGATTTTTGTACACCGTTTTCGGAAAAAATTGAATGAAATGTGCAGCAGGCAAACGAATCAGTAGGCCGATGTAGGAAAAAAAAACTACAGAAAGGACTCTGAACTGAATACCTCCATCGCTGAACAACGAACACAAAAACATTTTCTCATTGTTGAATTCCATGAAAGAAGAAAAATACACACAAAAAAGCGTAACGATTTTTTTCTTCGTCGCTGTATATGTTTGTGATTATCTGTTTTCTTTTCATAAGCACGGAACGGAGGGTGATCGAAAAACATCATCGCTTGTGTCTCGATTTTTTCTTCTTCTTCTGTTGTTCCGTTGAAAACGGCTACGGAACAAACGATAAAATATATGATCATTCAAACACATTAGACACCCTTACAAACGACGCGCAAAAAATGATGTGCAACGACCAAAGTGGAAGGAGAAAAAAATGCTTTTTGAGAAAAGGATCGATTGTTGTTAAGCAAATGTTGGGTTTTTTTTGCTGACGTCGTCGTCGTTCTTTTGTCTCTTTCGTCTGTAACAATTATTCCCTGTTGAGAAGACACTGTGAGAGTGAGAGAGAGAGCAAAAAAAAACAACTCATAAAATTCCATGAAATCGCTAGCTGCGGCGCTTGGCGTTATATTCAGTGTTTAAAGCATTCGTTGTTTTGATTTCGCGCTTTCAACTGTCGGAAAACTTGAATTTAGATACAAAATCGGGTCTCGATACTACACTTTGTATATTCCTAAAAAGAGGGTACTTGAAAATGAAAGGAAAAAAAAACGTTTCATTTCTGCGTGTTTTTTTCTCTTCTTCTCTGGCGCTACGTTTCTATTTCATTTGCGTTTGTAGTTAGAAAATACACACAGTATTCCCTCCACGGTGGTCGCCTAACGCCAGTACAATAAAAGATGCGCAAATTTGTGCCATGCAATGCACAGCACAATAAATGCTAGTACATTCGACACAAAAATGATTCGGTAAGTTTCATTTGCCAACGCCACACATTTATGTGCGACGCTATTTCATATCGAATCACCGCATCACGGACGAACAATAGACAAGACGCGCATATTGAAGTAGTACACAAGGTGATGGCAGCAGTAGCTTGGCATTACGTACGAAAAGCATTAATACGATGACGACGACGACGATTACCGTTACTAAGGGTGAGTTTATGCATACGTGAGCTGCAGACGCTCACATTTCGTGGGCCAATTGTGGGAATTTTTATTCCTTCAACAACGACAAACGAACAAGACCAAACGAATTTTTTTTTAATAACTTTTCTTCTTTCGTGTACATATTTTAAATACGCACCGTGGCGTAATTCGAACCAGTTAGACCAGTTCTCCGGTCTTTTGATTGTTAATCCAAGTATAAAAATGTACAATGATGTTATTCTTTGACTATATTTATTTTTTTTCCTTCACTTCTTGTAAACGAAAGCCGGCTCCATTTGTATGTTCTGTTTCGTGCGCGTCTCTTCTTGTGTTTTGTTCTATGCACACTCTATTATTAAACATTTTTTTTTCACAAACAATAAATCGGTCGTTATTAGATAGCGAAAATAATATTCGAAATCAAGCGATTTTTGCGTGGAATGCCAACGCTGACAAATGAAACAAAGACTCAGTTTCATTTGACGCGATTTTCTCTTCTTCTTCAGCGCCAAATTGGCACTGAAATAAGATATATCGCGTTCACAATCAGATTTTCTTCATCTTTTCAATGTAGCAAGAAAAAAATAATAATACAAATGTTATGAGTGATTTAGCTTTGACACATTGACGGTTAGCAACTGTGTAGAAAAAAAAGCAGCAACAGAAGCAATATAGCATCGAAGAGCCCTGTCATCGAATGGAATAACGGACAAAGGAACCGAACGGCTAATAAAGCAACTCGTTAGATGGCCATAAATTCGTTCAATCTTCAATGGACGATTAATTCCATCCATAAAGCACCAATATTCAATTCAACAACCATAGACACCGAAATGAAGCATTAATGCCGTTTTTCATACTCGTCTTGGCCACCATGATCTAGTTCAAGCCAATTTGATCACCGCCACGATAGATTGTGTGTTGTGAGTTGTTATTTTTGTTTTTTTTTTCTCTCTGCCCGCGATAAAATTGTTGATGATTAGTCATACACTTAATAACGGCTTGGATAACTATTGAATCAAATGAGATTTGCTTATCACATGTATGTGTCGAGAATTTCACAGAAATGACGCAAATTTATGATTAAACCGTCAGAATTTATGATCAAACCGAATGCGTACACTTAATTTAATTGAATCAATCAGTTTGGTGTTGGCTGTTGAATGTTCCGGGTGATTTAAATATGTGTGACAATTCGGTGGTGAAACACATTGTTTTTGTTGGTGATGGAGCCGTCGGAAAGACGAGTCTTTTGCATGTATACAGTAATCAAGGAGAATTCAATTTGTCATACGTGCCAACGATGTGATTGTGCGAAAATCTAAAATTAATTCCGAATTTTAATGAAATAATCACATTTTTTTTAGATATGATCTCGACGAAACCGAGCTCATACTGGACAATGCCAAACATTTGGTGAAATTACACGATACAGCCGGCCAAGAGAACTATGATCGATTAAGAAATATCATCTATCTATATGTGAGTTGACGAAATATGGTGTTGATTTAAATGTTGATGTTCATTTCTAGTCGCAACGTGCAGTTGCATCAAATCATTCAAGGCCGATTGTTTTGTTCTCTGTTACAGCATTGATGATCGAGCATCGTTTATAAATCTTTTTTGCAAATGGTATCCCGAAGTGAGACCCTACAAAATGCCCATTGTACTTGTCGGTACGTATTTTTTTTAATGTGAAAAAAATACATTTCAGAACAGAAAAGAGTGATAAAAAATCAGCTGTTATTGTTCTCTGTATGGCAGTGAAATTTATTCAATGATATCAATTTGATATCATTCCTTTTTTTGGACACACAAATCAACGGAATGACTAATTTCCGAGATTTCATTCCATTTTTTTCGTTTGTGTTTCTCTCTCTCTCTCTCTCTCTCTCTCTCTCTCTCTCTCTCTCTCTCTCTCTCTCTCTCTCTCTCTCTCTCTCTCTGTGTGTGTGTGTGTGTGTGTGTAGGCACGAAGAGTGATTTAACCGTTGGAATAAACATTGTGCGAGTGGATGAGGGTGAAAAATTGCGGAAAAAAATCAATGCCAATCAATTTCTCGAATGTTCAGCGAAAAACAATCACAATGTCAATGAGGTCATTTATGAAGCGATTCGAGCTGCTGTGGCTGGACCATTAGATCCACCCAAAACTGGATGCTTTAAAACACTGCGAAAATACATGTGCTGTCACAATAATGATTACGATAAACTTCTGTAATAAGCAAAAATATAAATAAATAAATTTTTAAAAATAATAACTAATGTGTTTTGAATGTCTTCAAATTGGATATGATGGATTTGAGACTGAATTTTTGCTGCTGCTTGATGTAATAAAGCCTTGTTTCGCGTCAAAGTTCAATGGAAAAATGGAATTTATGAACCAATTTGCCACCAATCTGGCATCGATTTTGGCATCATTTTCTAGATGAATATCGAAGTTTTGACTAGCTTTCACAATTCAAATATCTGTAAAATTATCGAATAATCAAAAACAATCGTTGATTCTTCCATTTTTTTTTTCACAGATTTCGACTTTTTTTCACAAACATGATTCGTATATTTGATGAAAAAAAATATCTTTAATTTTCAAGCTAGGAATTCCTTTTGAAATAAAAGTCGACGGTTTCTGCTTCAAAAGAACCGTTGAATGGTTTCATATAAAATGAGCTATTTTCGCGTTGTAGTAAATCATTTCGCAAAAAATGTGGTTCATTCAACCGTGTCGATCAGTGTCGATGTCGATCATAGTTCGGTTATGTGTGTGTTCAAAAACTTGTCTTAAGCCCACGAGCCGTTTATAACGCTATCATACAATTTTATTTTTTGCTTTGCGTCAATGTAATAAAGTTTATTGAAGAGATTATTGGCAGATGTTGATAATCTTGAAAATCAAAAGAAATTTTGATTTAAAAAAATAACCGTCTGAATGGAGGCTAGAGAGTTGCAGTTGCTGTTGATGAGGGCACGCGCCAAAAAAAGAGAATTGAATATTGCAGCCTCTGTAGTTTTTTTCTCTCTTCTTGTTGCACAGTAAAAGGCCAACACGAAACCATTTTATCTACGCCACCACCACCACCAACATCGCAAACGCAGAATCTGTGTGTGTGCGTGCGTGTAAAAATGATCGTAGTTGACAATGAATCAAACTGCATTCGATTCATACCGATTACATATTTTTCCAGAATGACAAAAAAGTACGAACCGAATCAAAACAGAACCGATCACTATGAATGGCAGAAGAAAAGAGATCTTGTCTCCATTGTTGAAGGCATTATCTAAATTTTGTAAGAAGCTGCTTTGTTGTTGATATCTGGTTTTTCTCTACTAATTTTTTTTACACATTGCATCGTTGTCTCTCCTTCTCTTCCTCTATCGCTGGCTCGTTCCATGAAACGTACTATTTTTTCTCAAATGGAAGTTGGACAAAACTGGATGAGTTCTTTACCTTCGCATACTCTATATCGTTGTTACCATTGTACGCTATTTGTTTTCATATGATTTTATTAGAATATTATTTTTCTTCCGAGTCGAATTCCCTGTCTCTCTCTCTTTCTCGTTCGTGTAGCTTACTTTTGTTCGCCATTGAAAACCACAAAAATGTACAGTTAGACGAGTATTATTTTTGATGGCGCATGCCCATCTCTCTTTTGCTATTCAGTCTTTTGATCTATGGTCGATTGGCTGATGTAGCAAGCCAAATGAAAACATCTTTCGATCATAAGACGACAATGAAGATGAAGAGGAGAAGAAACTCATCTCAAATGAAGCTGGCATGTGTGCGTGTGAGTGTGTATAAAGTGAAGCCGACAAATGAAGTTGGTAATGCTACGTAATTTCGATTTATTTTCGATTTGTCAGCTGTTTGGGTTTAAAGAACTTTTTTTTTACTTTACCTTGATTGAATGCAACTTCAACAGATCGTCCCTTTAAATTGCGAGAGTTCTTGCATTCTACTATAACCGTAGAGCGCTATACTACCAATATATACACGAAACACACAGAAAAAATTGAGAAAATAGACTTTTAAATATTACTTATTCGTTAAGAATGATTTGAATGGTTGCAACAGCACCGAATTTAATCTGAATATATTGAATGGAATTGCGATCGATGACGTTGAGCGCATATAATAAGTAAGTTGAAGGGAGAATGACACACGCACATACAACAGCTGATACATTATTTTTTTTCCTTCTTCTTCTACGGTGCGTTACTTTCGATTTTCAATGCAGGAAATCGGAACAATGCCAAACAATTGAGGGAAGCATTTTTACCTTGATATATGATTCGTTGCACCCAAGAAGAATCTCTTTGAAATCCATCGGTTGGCTGTGTGTGTATGTGTGTATAAATAAAGGTCACTACACTTAGACAATGAAAAACGAATTTTTGACATTGATTTATTGATTCGCATTCGGGCCCATTCATCTATCCAAATAGAAATTTCCGAGCAAAAATTGCATGATTACTGGCATTAATGATGATCTTTGGTGCCGATTTTTTTTTTCTGCGACCCGGGCACACAAATAGTAATTAGATGAAACTCGATGTGAATAATTTAGAAGTTGCTATTTAAAAGCCCGACAGGCGTCAGATTCCTATGACAACTTATTATTCATAACTGTGGCCGAGTGGCGCATCTTGAGGCGATTTTTCTCGTCTTTCTTAATTAACATAAGATAGTTAACGAAAGGTGGCAGTGGCAGCAACAGCAAAAACTATATGAAGGTAGACAAGAGAGAATGCAAGAAATTGTAGCTAAATGTTCTGTCCCAGCAAATTTGAGATTAAGCAAAAGCCAGCGCGAGACGATAAAAAGGAATACATCAGAGAGAAGCGAGATCGCGCGGTCAGAAATAACCGAAAAAAAAGGTTCAAAAACATCATTCGCGCGCGCGCGCACATTTCTATGACCATAAAATAATTTGATAATAAAAACTCCAAATCGGTCTCTGCAGCCACGTCATGGATACACCGACGCGGCAGCGGCCAAAAGCCAAGAAGCCACGGCCGAAACATAAACTTTCTGAAACACAGAAAGAACCAACACAAATTTCGTATGTACCAAATTCTGAGAAGTGTATTTTTATATTCTGTCATCTTTATCCCTCTCTACACATAGACACGACGTCGTTTGCTTAACTTTTGATATTGTTATTATGATTTTTGGAAAGAAATCTTTTTCACATTATTTTTTCTGCTCTTTTTTTTCTTCGGTTTCATTGGTTTTACAGGCACACACACACACGAAACTATTATGTCCGGCGAGAATGAAATAAGATATTCGGTCGCATCAAATCTCTCATAACTCTAGCAACAATATAAATTCTGTGTGTATGTTTCTTTTTTTTCTCGGTCGAATTTTTGGATATATTTTTTTTCTTTCTCGCAAAAATGGGAAAAAATGTCCTCCAGCAAATATTTAAATACCACAAACGCGAAAAAAATGCATAAAGTTTCGCTTCGTTCTTCAAAATGAAGAGCAAGAGAGAGTGAGAAAGATGAAGAGAAAAAAATCCACTCACAACGAACTATAACGAATTTAACAAGGAATATGTATCAAGAATTATGTGCTGAAACCCATCCATATATTATCTTTAGCAGTAGAACCAGAGAGAGAGAGAGAGAGAGAGAGAGAGAGAGAGAGAGAGAGAGAGACTCGGCGAACAACAACAATGCAAACAGCCGAAATGAATGAAAAGACAAAGGCCATATAACTTAGAACAGCAACATCGAACGAATGCACAAACGAAGGAAAGAAAGAAAAAAATCGCACAGAATGTCTAATGAGGCAAAATACGCAGACAGACGCCTACACTATTGAGTGAACCGCCTGTGCATCTCTCATTGCATATGCATTTTGCGGGAGAAAGACAGAACGAACGAACAAACGAAATAAAAATTATGTCTTCGATGAAGAAGTATAATTAAAAGCATCGCGATATACAAAAAGGGTCTTTGGATGCAATGATGACGATGATTTCGTTTTATTTTATTTTTTTGTTCGGGGCCAAATCACACAATCGATTGTTTTTGGTTTGCAAATGAGTTTTCATTTAAAACAATAGCGACAATAAATGGAGGGAAAAAAAATCCGTGGTCATTTGCTTTCAGCAAAGAAAAAAAAACAACACAAAATCGGACCGAATTCTTTTTAATGACTTTACACCCTCATGTGTCTACGAAACTAAAAATGGGCATCTATTGTTGATCGTTGTCGCCAAACTGCAGCACATCAAAAATGTGTGTGTGTGTGTGTCTGTGACATTCGCAGAAAATCGGCATCAGCCCGAGTCAGAGGGAGCACAGAAGACAGAAAGAGAGAGAGAAAGAGAAAAAAAACAGTCAAAAAGCGTTTGCAATTCTCGGAACGCTCTCAAAACCGAGAGAACAAACGACATTGTAAGTAATGCGTAAGTAAGGAAAATGCAAAGACAGTAGAACGCAGAAAATAAACCAATTATGTTGGGTTACCGTTGATCATTTGCCCGCCGACGCTGCGACATGTTCTCAGCCAGCGACAAATTGTGTGGATTCGCAAGAAAAAAGGCAGCCAAATTCTTTCAGCTAGGTAGAAAAGAAGCAAAGAAACGCGCAAGCACACGCGCACATATGAGCTCAACACAAGCCATTCTGCAATGAAATAACTGCTGCGGCTGTATGATCAACGGAGAAAAATTGTCGTGGAAATGAACCGAAACGTTTGATAAATGAAAAAGAAGAAGTCGAAGAGGACAAAAAAAACTCCGTGTACTACGTATGTGTGTATGAGTTGTTCAAGTTCTTCTATAGATCACTGAGAGAGCATTCGATGTGTCGTAAACAAATTCAACGAATTCAGAATGAAGAGAGAAAAAAAAACTAACTAAAACAAGAAAAAGAAACGTATCGACGACATTGCCAAACGAACGAATGAACATGCATGCTAATAAAATGCGATTAAACAAACTAAATGACAGTGTGTTGACAGTAAATTATACCGTTGAAAGAGAGAGAGAGAGAGAGAGAGAGAGAGAGAGAGAGAGAGAATAAAAAGGACGGAAACAACGTCGAGCATACACAAAAAAAATCCAAACGACGACGACGTGGAGAGAACGAATATGATTTAATATTATGTGGGATATATGCATGTTGTGCCCAGCGACGGAATAAGCGAGATGGAGAACAGAGCAAGAAGAAAAAAGTCCGTCGCACTACAGCAAGTATATATCAGAGAGA